ATCCAATAGTGTCTCTGACTAACTGATTATGTTTATTAAAAACACATCAGTCACTTTTTCTCCACATGGTAACTCCTACACCGAGTTATCAATAATAATTTATAAGCAATGTAAATTAGAGCCTGGTTAGCTTCCTACTGATCTTTATTTTATTATTTTCAGTTCAACATAGCTGAAAGCACGTTTGATTCCAGAAGAAATGTTTGATACACATTAGCTCAACATGCACCTGTTGTTTAGTGTTAATTTCTCCTGTGCTCTACATTAAGTCATTAGCTCATGCCAGAAATTTTAAGTATAACGATCATTTAAAAGGATTGTCCCACTCTAGTTGGCTTACTTAAATCAGCTATGATGCCAAGATAGGTCTTGATTCAGTTTTCCCCAAAGAAGTTTGATTGGTGTCTGCTTTAAAAGAGATCCAAAGCACTAGTCTATGGTGCTCGGAGCCATCCCCAATTCCCTATAATAATTAGAGTTGCCTCTGGGCAGTTCACATTTATCCCATCAGTGGAAGGTTTGTAATGGAGCCTACCTCTCTTTTGTAAGGCACAAGAAGTACACATTAGTCATTGTGTGTGTGTGTTGCATTAGCCACCGGCCATCACCGCAAACCACCATCACATAAATCAAAACTATAAGCCTGGCAATTTAAATGAAGGAAGATGTTTTGCACCTGCACAGCTCCTGGGTCTTGGAGACCAGTGAGATCTTCTGCTTCTGCTATGATCTTGGAGCCGGGGCGGGGGGGGGGGGTGAGTCTAAAGCTGCCACCTCCATACCAGCAAGAACTACATAGTGAAGGAAATAATCTTGATTAGTTGCTTTAAGTTTATTATTCATTTTGTTGTGCTCCTTTTTTTCCGAGAAATGGCCACAAATGTGAACTGTGTAGTAACAAAAGGAACAATACAAGAAACATAATATTTTTTTTTAATAAAAAAATCATAGACATGAATTTCAGAAGGCATCCTAAAAATGCACAGAATCCTTGAAAAATGCACACAAAATGAGTTGTGCTTCCCCAAAGGATAACAAACAGGGCCTCCTCCACTGCTCTCTAGCTGTGGATAGGTTGTTATTGGCAGAGGCAGTCTCTAGCCACACACCATGCATTTAAAGCTCATGACTTTCCCCAAATAATACTGGGGACTGTGTTGTGCCCCTCAGAGAGCTACAATTCCCAGCACCCTTCACTAACTATGGTTGCCAGGATCCTATGGGGGAAGCCATGTGCTTTAAATGTATGCCAGGATTGTGACCTGAGTCCCAAGTTGTTGCCAGGAGTTTGGGCAGTGTGCCGCAAGTCAAATGCAAAGCATAAGATTATACCGCCCTCTAAAGGAGGGGTGGGGAGGCTTCCCTCCTCTCCCCTGTTGCCATATCCTGCCCACCCCAGGGCATGGATCATCAGAAATGCAAGGGGATTTCCTCTCTCACCTCTCTCCCCCCCCCATCCCATGCCATCTCCAAATCTGCAATGAGAAAGACAGCTATCTCTTGCCAGAGGTCTGAACTGACCACTTGCAGAAGGCTCCCTCCCACTTTGCCTTCCTTTCTCTACCCATTTTAGATGCCCATCCCATTCTTCCCACCTTGCCCTCCCTCCAAGCTCCTCTCTCCATCTGCATGGAATTAGCGAAAGGGTGCATATTTTCCATCCCTGTTATATGGTGCCAAGGTGTCTTAAGGAGGGATTCCCAGCAGCTGGGCTTTGACAGCTTCCCTCTTGTATCAACAACAATCTTTTCCCACTGCAACCATGGCAAACTGAGGCTGGGCTGCAGTGCCAGCATACCTGAGCACTCAGCTACCCCCCAAAAGACCAAGCCCTATCCGTTGGGCCCTATCCATTGATTTATATATACATGTATCCTGCTCTTCTAGGGTCTATATACTTACTTAAAGTGGCTTGCAATAATTTTAAATTACTTAGTCAATTACCTTTCGTAAGCCGCCTTGGGACTAACTTTAAATAAAGATTTGCATTATTTTAGGGCCTTCCTAAAGCTATTCAGGCTTGCAGCTGTGAAGATGTATGTTAATTCATATCCCTCAACAGATAGCTATTACTATTTCCTCCCACATTTTTAATTGTCTCTGCACTGGAAATTGTTTCTTTATACATATGTGTGGGGAACAACCTGCTGAGACCAGTATTCAGCCTGGGTGGGCTGCAGGTGGGTGGGAAAAATGGTGCAAGATGCCAGCTACCTGATGGCTCTTAAGTCTCAAAGCAAGTCAAGGGAAGAAGAAGAAGAAGAAGAAGAAGAAGAAGAAGAAGAAGAAGAAGAAGAAGAAGACTTGGAAGAAGGTGTCAGTGGCATACTGAGGGAAGATAAAGGAAGTGGTGGGTTAACTCCTTCCTCTATGATAAGCAGGTCTTCTGTGTGGGAAGTGGAAAAGTGACTGCAATCTGTGTGCCTGGTGGTCTTCATTTTATTGGCAAGGAGCAGCTGCTCTACACTTTGAGGTGTCTGGACACCTGGGACTGCAAAAATGTGTTGCAAGTTTCATGCTGCATTGTGATAAGGTTGAAATAAGTGTAATATACTTTTGAGTAAGAATCAGTGCTGAAAATCTTGCATCTGAATATAAATTTTATAGCACATTCCAGAATACCTGGTGTGTGTATTTCTGTGCTCTTGTACTCTGTCTCTCTGTATATCTATAATTATATATCTCTATATATTACTCTGTGTTTACCTTTATACCACACTGCTGTAGTGCAAATTTATGTGTAGGCATGCACTCATGCATATAATATATACATTTTCTTCTGTTTTCATTTTTCAAGTTTGGGATTGAACTTCTTATATATTTCTGTTTGCCAGGAGTAATGTCCCTGCGTTTTAAGACAAGAAAGAAATGTAGAGTAGAGGTTATTCAGAACAGAATTAACTTGCTTAGGTTGCCACTAAAGCTTTAATGAGCCATTTTGCACGTTTTAAATGTTGTGACTGCAATTATTCTCACTGCTTCATCTACTCTCCAAAGGACTTTTGTAATTTCAGTATGGAACCACTTTTGACAGGTCATTTTAACTTATTTAGCTATGGAGGCTTCAAGTCTGAATTTTGTATTACTTAAATATGTTCTCAATGAATGTCAGCATGTTAGACATTTGCACGTGATATTTAGCTCCTGCACAGAATTAAGGGTTCTTGCACCAGGCTATGGATGACACCCTTCTCTGTGAATATTGGGCAACTTACAATTTTATTGGCCGTTGCCCAGATCCTTCTGTAGCATATTATGCATAGAAAAATGAATAGATATCACAAATCATTTGCTGTGTAGTGTTTTATTAACAAGTGCATTACTTTGCAAACCTTAAGGTGTTTACTGTGGAGTTGTCCCATAAGTTTTCATGAAGAAATTCTTATCAAGATCAGTATGGATATAAGTTACCATTGATCAGGTCCCAGTACTCAGCACATGTGTTTAAATGTATCCGTGAAAATGGAACGACCCCATTTCCTAACTATCCCAAAAAGCCCATACAAAACTTGCATGGTATACAAATGAGAGGATTTCTCCCTGCACTAAAATAAATATATGGCACAAGAACGCAAGAGAATTGTGACTGGCTCTTTTACTGTTCCTTAAAAAGTCTAAAATTCTGAAATATTTATTCAGTCATATCCCATCTGCTTGCTGTACTCAACTTCCAGGCTGTGAACTTATATTGAACTAAATGACCAACAATACAGTTGAAGCAATCACCCTGAAAATAAGTTGGAAATGCACTTCCTCTCTTTAAATAGCTATAAAATACACAGATTGTCTTCTCCTTTCTTTAGTTATCAGGATTTATTTGTTCTCTTGCTTCTAATATCCACTGAAGATATTTTCTGCCAGTATTAACTTCTTGGATCAATAATTTTTGATGGCAATCTTGAGGGAAGTTGGTGTCTGGCAGCTATCATAGCACTGTAGTCTCTTGTTGAAAAGCAGTTACCACAAACAAAATTGGCTCTATCTTTGGGAGTGATGTTCACAAGACTGCACATATTTTATAGTACAATTATCTAGGGTGGCTGTCGTGCCCTCTCTGTTTAGAAAAATAGGGTCACAGCTTGAACAATCCAGTTTTATGAGTTGGAGCGAGAGACAATTAGTTTTCACATACAGTTTATATCAAGGATGCAGAACCTGTGACCCTCCAGTTGTTACTGGACTACAACTCCTATAATTCCTGACCTTTGACTATGCTGGCTGGGCATAGTGGGAGCTGGGGTCCAACAACCTCTGAAGGGGCACAGGCTTCCCATCCTTGGTTTCTATTTTCTGAAAGAGTGGGGAACTGCTGATATACTCTACCATCCACATCTTGTGCTTGACACTGCCAGCTAGGCCACAAATTAAAACATCAGGCCTGATGCTTGTCAGTCATCCCCCTTATACCCCCACAAGTAAGAAGCAGGATCCTAAAGTTTGCCCTCGTTCCATATATTACATTTATATACTTTTATATTATATTGTTGTGAGGTGGGGGAGGGGGGAGTAGGCTGTTTGCCAAGATCCTTTCAACCCTTGGATCCAGCAAGTGTTAAAATATAAGCCAGGCTAGCTTCCTGATGAGGTGATTGCCTGGGTGATGGGCCATTAAGGGGAACAAACTGTTTCTATTGTATTTGCTAAAGGTGCTTATTAGCTTGTGTTTTTCAGTACTTAACTTTGAAGATCTTCGGCTGCAATCCTAACCCTATTTAAGTGGGAGCAAAACCCACTGAATTCAATAGGACTTACCTCTGAGTAGATATGGTTAGGATAGTGTTGCTCATTAGTTGCTACTCCAGATGGTGTTAAAATGCACCAAGAAAAATGCTCAAAGTAGAATGCTTGCTTCGGTTACAGTTTTTTGTATCATTATTCATTTTCTCTTCATTGTAATAGATGGGGTGCTCTCCTGGTCAAAGTGCCACAGCTACACCAAGCACTTAAACAGTGGATTTGTCACAGGCTAATCTAGATTTTCATTTTGCTTTTTATTGTAGAGTGCAGATATGAGTCCTGCAAGCAGTACCAACTCGCTTCCTGTCAGCCCACTTACTGAAGAACCGTTGCCATTCAAGGTAAATAGCTTTCACCACAGAGTCAATGATACTTGGGGTATTTGACTTAAAACAGGTGCATGCTTCCAAGTACCCTGGCTATAATTGCATGCTTGCAAAAATCATGAGGAGTTGACTGATATACAGAACGGCAAAGGATATGCTGGAAGCAGACTTGCACTCTTGGTGAGACATTAATGTTAGGCAAAACTTTAAGCCCTGATTAAGACTCCAGGATCTTAAACCCTGGATCTCAATTTCCTTGTTTGCTTTTAAAACTCCTGTTTGCCTGCTCAGCAAGCAGATGGGTGTGTGTGTATGGCTGTTGTGGTGGGGCATCTATCCTTCTCTACATCCAGAGAGGAAGCTGCTTCTCTTATCTACAGGAATAGCTGCACCTTGTAAAACTACTGTGTAAAACCCAAACAGCCCTGGGTTATGTCTCCACTTTCTCAATAGGGCATGTTAGGTGAACATGACATAATGCATGGCTCACAATTATTATTTTATGACATCTACTGAAGCCATCATACTATCCAAAAGTACTTCTGTCACCCTGACGACATTTCTCTCTATTCCCTCTGGCACCAGGGTTGCTGCCTGCAGATGGGATTTGCAAGTGGTTCAAGTCAAGTACTAACCTTATAGACCACAGTCCTCTTTATTTATTATTATTTATTCCTTACATCTATTTACCACCTTTATCCTCCAAGGATTTCAAGGTGGTGTACACAGTTCTCCTCCCCATTTCAACCTCACAACAACCTTGGGAGGTAGGTCAGGCTAAGAGATAATGACTGGCCCCACTTCATGACTGAGTGGGGATTCGAACCCTGCTCTCTCAGGTCCTAGCTCAACACTCTAACCACTATGCCACACTGGCTCTCTTTAAAACTCATTGCTCTGAAGAGTCACTACTGTGCCATTCCCTGTTTTATAACTCCAGGTTCTGGATAACTTGGTGGTGACAGACTAGACTAGAGAATCTGTGGTCCTTCAGATGGTGTTGGACTACCACTTTCATCTTCCCTGACAATTGCTCATGTTGACAAGCACCAACAGGAGTTGAAGTACAACAACATCCAGGGAGCCACAGATTCCCCATCCCTGCACTAAGCCGTCCCTTTGGGAATTTGACACTGATTCTTCTGGATGACTGCTTTTTTATACTTTCAATTTTAGGGTACTTGTTACCTTTCCAGCCATTGGGGCATGGACCTTACCACCTGAACCTAGGTATCTGACAGGCACATAGTATGTACAACCTAGGTTTCCCTTATCCCTCCATTCTTCCATCATGGAACTCAAGGTGGCATGCCTTCTGTATGTTTATTTAGCTTCATCTAGACTATGGTCCTCCAGTCAATGTCACGAATTTATATAAAGAGTGACTTTATATAAAGAATAACTTATGAGAAGGTGGTGATTTGTTGGCATCTGTTCATTTGAAGAAGACCGAGAAGACAGGTGACAACTGTGTGTAGGCATACAGAGACACATTGTTGTATGCTCGTTTTAAAAAATAGCAGGATATTAAAAATAAAACCAGGGGTACATTTGTTTTGGCTTTTGAATGAAAGACTTCCAGCTTTCCTGTGGAACTCATGTAAACATTGAGGTCAGGCTCAGGGGAGATTCATGTGCAACTCCCAGCCAGCACCGTTGAGGGGAAATAAAAGTAATATAAAATGCAACCGTTTCTGTTATTGCTTGCTGACTTGCTCCAGGAGAGAGCAACACTGTTTCAGCAGTAATGTGAGTGAGTGATTTCATATGCAAAAACCCTTTCCAAATACTGTCAGTCTATAATAGTGGTTTGTGATGACAGGGAATGTATTACTCTGGCCAATTTGATAGTCGTACTTCCCAACTTCCTGTGAAGTGAGCAGTAATGTTTAGATGTTTAATTTGATTTGTTTTGGGCGGTTCTGAGAAAAGCAGTTGTCACTTAAGAACAGGGTAGAAAAATGGGGCCTCTGTGGGATAGTAAACTATGGTTTACTTTTGAATTTGAAATAAGTTATAGCTGTCACTTTGGAATATCGGTTCTGACCTAAGGAAAAGGGGGTGCCCTTTCAATGTGTTTGCTGTACAAACGTGGGTGGCACTGTGGTCTAAACCACTGAGCCTCTTGGGCTTGCCCATTAAGGTCAACATTTGAAACTGTGTGATGGGATGAGCTCCCATTGCTCTGTCCCAGCTCCTGCCAACCTAGCAGTTCCAAAGCATACCAGTGCAAGTAGATAAATAGGTACTGCTGCGGCGGGAAGGTAGTGTTTCTGTGCGCTCTGGCTTCCTTCACAGTGTCCTGTTGCATCAGAATCAGTTAGTCATGCTGGCCACATGACCCAGAAAAGCTAACTGCAGACAAACACTGGCTCCCTCAGTCTGAAAGCGGAGATGAGTGCCATAGTCGAATTCAGCTAGACTTAACTAGACTTACCTTTACCTGTACAAACTAACCTCATCACAGATGACCTGGCTTTCTAATAAAGCTTATATGGACAGGCAGTATGGGATTCATAGAGCATGTGAATTCTGGGACATCATATCTGAAATCCAAGGAGAGAGAAGTGTGTGTGTGTGTGTGTGTGTGTGAGAGAGAGAGAGAGAGAGAGATATTTACTCTTCATTTCATACATTACTTGTTTTCTCCTTACAAGAAAACCTGTTCAAACTTTTTACAGCATATTGATTAAGATTTGGTAGGAACCTGATACATTGCTTTATGGGCTGGGTCTGTCCCACCTCAGCAGTTCCTGGCATACATTTTGGGGCGAGTCTATCAGCAGATAAATGGTCTTTCCCTCTCTAAAAGAAGAAAGGTACAGATGGCATTAGGAGGTGGGTTAAATAGCTTGCTCCTGATATAAAACGTACAGAGCAAATGTGCGGCTGAGGCATAGAGGGACAAAGGTCAGCTTTCATATCTATGAATAGCACTAAAGCTGTTGCTCTTGCACATTAGGCCTGAGGACTCAATCACAGGAAATTTGGAATTAAAATCACCACTGTGCCTCCTACTGTGCCATTTCCTCAGCAGCTCATAACATCCTCAGTGTTGCTGCATACCCAGCTGCCATCTATAGGGGGTCCTTCAGGCTTTTTATGTGGCATTGTTTTTGACACTCAGTCTGAAATATTTAAAAAAATGATATGAGAGCAGTTTGGGGAGCACTCAGAGGCAGCTCCATCCCTAGCTCAGTGCAAGAGGTGCCAGCTGGGCTAAAATTTTATTGAATGAATTACCAGAGCATTTTTCTGTGACTTCAGGTGGTAGTAAAAAATAGAAAAACAGGGTGGTGGTGGGGCATGTCACGGTGTACATAATTAGCAGCAGCAGAAAATAGAGACTGAAGACTCAGCCTCACACTTACCCTTTTCGAGGCGAGTCAATCAGAACTGTACACAGTACTTCAAATGCAGTTGCACCATAGATTTGTGTAGCATCAATGTGATATTGGCAGTTATATTTCCAGTTCCTTTCTTAATGACCTTAGCATGGAATTTGCCTTTTTCACAGCCACCACACACTAGGTTGGCTTCTTCATCAAGCTAGCAAGGTCTCACTCCTGGTCTATCAATATTATATATGCACATACACAGTAAGTTATTTGACAGAAGTTATTTAACAACAAACAAAACACAAGCCAGATTCTGATGTTGGTTTTTCAGAGATTACAGTGGCCAAGGCTGGTTTGGTACTTCAATGAATATTAGCTTTATTTACCAAATTGATATTGAAATTGACAAAGCTTGTTCTGATTTGGATGAATTGGTAATTCTTTCCAGTTTTTGCTAAGTTTAGTTACTCTGTTCTCGCCTCAGTATTTGACTGTGCTGATGCTAATCCCCCAAATGAGAAACAACACAATTAATAAAAGGAGATAATCCTAAGAAAAAGTATGGAAGTCTGCTGATAAAGCTCTCTTTCATCAAAGAGATCCCCACTAGATTCTGTCTTTGTGGTGGTTGTAGTCAGGTAACCAGCTTCAAGTAGCAACTTCTGAAAAGAATAATCTAGCAGCCAGGATCACCTGTAGTAGTGGGCCACATTATCCATTTGGAAAGAATCTTTCTTATCAAAAGGGAAAGAATCCATAGTATGTTTGTTGGTTTGAGAAATGTTTACCCATGTTTCCACTAAAATAGCCTCAATGAGGATTTCTGATCAAATAAAAACTGTCTAGATAAGGAAACTGTAAACTGGGGTAAATATTATGTTACCCATTAGGTTTCAGAAAGAAAGAATACTTAACATTAATGAGTTTTATGTGCCATTGAAATCAGTGGATTTAAAGTGTATAGTTGAATGCTAAATTCAGCCTTACCAACGTGGTGCCTTCCTGCTATTTTGGGTGACAAATCCCATGAGCCCCAGTTAACACCTTGGAGTTGTAGTCCCAGACAGCAGGAGGGCACCAGGTTGGGGGTGGCTAGCTTAAGAAAATGAAGTAATTTCAGTAGAATTTAGTTGTGGATAATTTTTTATTATTATTGATTTCATCCTACATCAGCTAAAGGTCTGTCTTACCAGTGCATTCTGTGAATGTACAAAAACAATGCAGTGCATTCTTGGTACATTAATTGCAGCCAGAAAGCATAATATTAAACTTGTTACAACACCACACATACACACACATGATTTTTCCTGAACAAGGTATTACAATAAATGAAAGGCATACATAAAGTCAGAAGAGTATGCATAATTTCTCCAGTAATCAATAAAAGTAGACCAATTTTCCTTTAAAAAAATAAAATAATACCTTTTGTTCTCTTTCTTTGCCTTGAATATAATTAGTAAGTTTTGACATCACCGTCAAGCAGTTTATTTTCCCATTCAGAAGCCGACAGAAAATTATTTCCAGCATCTAGCATAACAGACTGTGGCTGTAACAGCCATGTATGATATCATCTCCTGATATAGTATGCAGTGTTCTTATCATCCACCAAGAGAAAAAAATTAGGAACTGAACTCAATTTCTCCTTCATTATTCCCCCCCTCCCTGGTATATGCACTG